TACATATAAGGTAAGTGTGCACACAAATGACATCCTCATACATCTCCATATAAGGTAAGTGTGCACACAAATGACATCCTCATACATCTCCATATAAGGTAAGTGTACACACAAATGACATCCTCATACATCTCCATATAAGGTAAGTGTGCACACAAATGGCATCCTCATACATCTCCATATAAGGTAAGTGTGTACACAAATGGCATCCTCACTCATCTCCATATAAGATAAGTGTGTACACAAATGGCATCTTCATTCATCTCCATAAATGGTCTGTGTTCACATCATTGCCACCCTCATATTTCTTCATAAGTGTGCACACAAATGACATCCCCATGTATCTCCATATATGGTAAGAATGCACACAAATTACATCCCTATGTATCTCCATATATGGTAGGTGTGCACACATATGATACCTTCACTTATCTTCATATAAGTAAAATGTACTTGCAAATAATATCCCAATACGTCTCCATATAAGTGGCATTACTTAATACCCTAATATCTATTGCCTTCCATTTTAGGCAACTACAAGCACTTGACTGTCCCCATCAATTTCCATATAATTATAAGGCAAGTGTCAACTTGACGTCTTTATGTGACCTATTGTCATATAAGGCATACTTGACATCCTCATCTATTTCCATATAAGGCAACTGACAATACGTCGCGTCCTCATCTTTAACCATATATGGAACCTGGCATTGCATGAAAGTACCGTCCGGACTGCCGGCCGTTATCTCTGCCGGGCCAGGCTGGAGCGTGGGCGGGCTTCGGTAGCTAATTCACCGCTAGTCTAACGGGATTTCCACGGTTTAAATGTCTCCTGTGATGTATGGTCGTAAAAGTAGGGTTGATGTGAATAATAACTCACGCCAGGAGCCGGTGTAGGTACTGGCAGCTGTGCGATAACAACGTGCATCAATATGTCTGTATATGTTTGCCTTCAGCTCTCTCTCCTATTTCTTCAACATTTTCGTGTCTTCGCGTATTCACTCATGGTCTCTAAGAATTAAAAAAAATTCAAAGCTCAAAGCAAGCAACGCAGAGATATACACCAAAGTAAAACGTGGAACTAAAACGTAGATCTTTCATCTGTCATCCTCAAACATGTAAACAATTCTTTCTTCAACAATGTTTTCTATTTTTATGACTGATTTTCAATGCGAAAAAATAGGGCATTACACGTCCAACAGATAAGACCGGGCAGTTTTACCAGACGCTACTGACCATATCGTGGCCTATTTCAGTCTCTGCCTGCGGGCATGGCGCTGTATTACAGTAATGTAGGGTAATGTAGAATGACAGCCGTGAGACACGCTTGGATGGATTAGAGCCGTGCAGACCCACCAGGGGTTCCCAGACTCATGCACGCCGCCGGTAACAGTGCTTTGATGTTCACTGGACGGTGTACAAAGTATGTGAACATCAGTCATGTTTATTGGATAGTGTATGTGAATATTAGACACATAGTGGATAGTGTATAGGAACATTACGGACATATATGTTGGGAAGGGTATGTAAATATTTAGACCTGTATAGTGGATAGTGTTTGGAACCATTATACATATATATGGGATAGGGTATGTGAACATTAGACATAACATGCAGTGAATAGTGTATGTGAACATTAGACACATAGTGGATAGTGTATAGGAACATTAGACACATAGGGGATAGTTTATTGGAACATTAAAACGTATCTATTGGATAGGGTATGTGAACATTAGACATATATAGTGGAGAGTGTATATGATCATTAGACATATATAGTGGACAGTCTATGTGAACATTAGACCTGACAATGTAACTGACAATGACTAGACTGTATGCACAACCTTCATCGACATACTGAAACATTTTGTTTCACGGAGTTGTTTTAATGAGCAAATTTTTTTTAATGAGACAGATTGAATCTTCCAAAGTTAAATTAGAATAGGCCTACACGTAAGGACAGGAGATAGGCCTACACATAAACAAGACGTCCTCCAGATATTCTTACACTTAGAGCAAACTTTAGTTCACTTGTGCCCCCCCCCTTACATTTTCACTTGATGCTTACATCAAACATTCACCTCAGCAGTAGGTACGTCATTACGGGGAAGTAATCTCGGCGGGATCTGGGCTGCTGATTCTGCTGCCTGAGAGACGGGGTAATGGAATATAAACTACCACTCCGGACTCTAATTTGGCTGGAAGTGCTCCTGTGGTAACGGGAAGCAAAGACAAACATCCATGGCATTTGAGAGAATGCCAGCATTGACGTCATAGGCTGTTTATGTCGTTTTCATCCGAGTGGCTTGTTAGGGGTGTGCATTGTTCGTAACGTGTTTTCTGAGTCTTGAATTTTTGCTTTTATTTTCGGCTCGTCTTTCTCTGGAAACTAGGACAGAATATACTTTCATATGGAGTCATGTATTTTCAAGGTAAATCAAGCGCTATATCGGGACAGGAATGGTGAGGTTACCACGCAACCCAACTTTTCTCTCCTACCATCTCGAGAGTAAGATTAACTGAAGTGACAGTAGCCTCTATGGTATCATATATAATCATTAATGGTGATCTGTTTATCAACGTATCCTTTGCAGATCTAGATAACATGCACAGCTGGTACTCAATGTTCAGTGGCTGTCCACTATCATATATCAAGCTGTTGCCATCTAGGTCTCATTCCCTCTGACACTGGCTCTAACAATAATGTATGGTCCAGAACACGATATTACAAATTAGAGTATTTATTTTTGTACAAGGTTCTTTTACATGTACATTTATATCTGTTGTCTGCTGTCGCAACTTGCCTAACGATTCACACCTTTCTTGTCGTCATTATCACAGATATATTACGTTTATTGCGTCAAGGTAAAACAAACACAGCGGGTAATTCCGTAAACAACAAAGAACAGAAGGTGGAAAGACAAATATGTTCAGGGAGTTTTAGATGACGCACATTTTTATGACCAATATAAATCTTTATCGATAAGATATGGAGTCATAAAAACATGGGAAAATTCAGTATCAAAAGTAACTTTCAGTAATTTACTTCTGGGTATGGACGTATTGTTTTGGTGGCTGCGCTGTGAGTTTATGTGTCTGCTTGCCCAGGCAGTGTAGGTTGACAACACGTGGGCGGGGTAGGATTGACAGGCAAACTGGCAGGAAGTCATAAGGTCAGATACAGGAAATGGTACTTGGGCATTCAGGAAGCCGTTGATTTCGTGAAGGACCTTCTAAAACTTCCTGGATCTCTTATATAAAATTTCCAACTTTTGTTGCAGTTTTTCTTCACACTACTGTTATGCAAGGCAAACGAACAATAGGTACAGCCCGGGGGTCTCTTACACACAATCTGTATGGAAAGGAGATCTTAGAGATTAGCTATGACTGATACCATCAGACTGCCAGAGGGCTGTTTCAATCATTAGTGACTTTCTTACAGTTACACAAACAACAAGAGGCGGTTGCCATGACAGCGAGTTTTCATCTTCACATATGAAGGGTGGCGTTTCACAGGCTAATTAGCTGAAAGGAGCTTTAATGAGGCTGCGCGTACCAGATTAGTACCGGAATAACCCAGGTAATTAGGAGAAGTAGCGAGATCTGCCGCCAATTAGTGGCCCCATAGGTAAGATTTCAAACGGGTTGAATTTCCGCCAAGCCGGGTGTGGGTGGATGCAATCGGTGTTGCTGCTTCAGGCAGAAGACTGCTGCCGCAGCTGGTGAAACGTTATGTTACGCCTGGATGTCTTACAGACTAACCTTCACCGGCAAAACGTTAACTTGTATGATATCTGTTAAGAATTAAAAAATTTGGTCCAACACAAAAAAGTTCTCTCACCTAGAGCTTTTGACCAGTCACTCTGGTCTTTCTCAGTATACTGACCCAGTGAAGCTCTAGGTGAGATAACTTTTTTTGTGTGTTGGACCAAACGTTTTAACTCTATAACCAACACACTCAGATGAACTTTCATTATTGTATGATAACTGGTCGTTTTTCTATTACGTTTATGGGGTACGTAGGAAACTGCACATTGCTGCCTCAGTATAGTCCTATCCAGTCCTGTCCTCTAGCTCCTTCAACTTGTAGCCTTATCAACCTGTTGCCCTATCAACCATGGAACTTTAAACATCATTGTCAGAAAATTGGCCAAGTGCGAATTTTTATAGGGCTGATCAAGGCGGATGGATTTTACAATAGTAAAAAAAATGTTAATAATTAGCTTTCTCGTGTGTATGCATTTACTTGTAGATGTCAGACCGGGTAGAGAGTCCGACCTTGTTGAATCTGGAGGTCCCGATCGGAGTCTTTATCAACAGAAACTCGAATCGGGATGCTGTTGATGCGCTATGGTCTCCCATGTATAAATCAAGCCAGTCCATTCATCTAAAGTGACACGAATAAAAGTGAAAAAGTTCTTTCTTTTCAGCGAATTTAGAAACTAGAGTCGGTAGAGTCTCCTATACTACCCTGGCATATGTATTACATGTAAATGGAATCAGGTGTGTTTAGACCAAGGATGAGTTAATCTGTCTACTGTTGCACTCATATTTTGTATTATTGTACTTCTAAACAGATCTGGGGATTGCGTGCTCCACCGTTCACTGTTCTCTACTGCAGTGGAACTCTTGATCCGATGTGACCATCGTGGGACCATCGTTCACATTTGATATGACATCAGATGTTCCGTCAGCAGATTTAATGAGCTCTGAGCAGAAGCTGAACAGACTGATCTAGAACAGTTCAGATTTAAGATTCACCTCATACAACCAGCTGCAGAAGATCTTTAGGCTGTGCTAATAAACTCAAACCGGATGTAGAAACGTTTCGCGACTTCTGAGTTTACACACTCAACTTGACTCAAGAAAGTAAATCCAAGACATGCCATGTCTATATATACATTGACTGTAAATAAGCATGCAATTCAGCCGTCAGGCTGTAATATGCTTCTCTGAATAAACCAATTTGACCATTAGTGTCAGTCCTAAAACAATTCCAAGAGAAAAGTTACCTCCTTCTGCTAGAGATCTTTCAAACTACACCCATGAACGCAACTGCGATGTAGCTACAACTGTTTACACTTGAGAAGGTGTTTAATACGCCGGGACCGGATCCAGTGCACGCGCACTGAACCAAACCACATTTGAAAGATTTAAAGGCAAATCGTTATCTCACTTGACTTGCCCCGAACTCCAGTGACCTTAGGTTCTGAGAAACCAGACCTGACAGACTACAGAACTGTGAAGAATACAGTCATTCACTCAAGTTTATCCCTGGTTGGGATTCAGCGGCTTGACTTGCTAACGAACCGAAACAAGAAGCGGAGACAAACTGCGCATGCAGATTCTGCTGATGGAATCCACTGAGAAGGTCTTGACACAGGCCCAAATTTGATTGGTTACCTAGGAGACGGTTACCTTGGAGACGGCTGCACGCTGAGGGAATGCGGCATGCCTGGGCTCATTAATATTCATAGCCGGACCCGGATACCCCTGCAGGCGTCACGGGCGTCCGCCTGTCTGATTGGCTACTCACTGGGACTGACGGCATCACTGACATACTACAATGATCAGGTTAGTGTTTTAATGTTGTTGTTTTTTTACTCTTATTTGTGCTTGCGATTTGAAGGATTTTCTATTTCAAAATTCAAAAAAAATATGCTTGCATATAGATGTACTAGGAACAAAAGAAAGGTAGCGTACAGGTTGGCTCCTGACCGACCTATGAACTTTTAAAACAGAATATCCTTAATTCTTTTACATTACATATTTTGTACTTTTTTCAGTCACACAATTTAGAATTTGAGCTCACCAACAGTACTTTATATGTGTTGACCTACGGAAATCAGCTATATGAATTGTTAATAACTGATCGTTTACTTATCCAGTCACACTACAGTACAGCAGTGGCCACTCATCTGTCTTTTGCCCACCAGATTCGCGATCACACACACTAGCTGTGCTTGCTCGGTTGTGTTTTTTGAAACCTTTGTTTCTTCATGACAATGGCATGTAGGCCACCTTTCTATTGAGATTTATTTAATCAATACGGTCTATCGGTGAAGTTTCAACAGCCACATTGCTATCCGAGGTCTGATTTTAATAAGGTGGTAAAGACAGCAATCGATCTTTTTTGTTTCTATCTTTAGTATATATGGTAATGCTACTGTTTTGGTTCAATAACCCCGACTAAGATGGAAACGCTGATATCCTCTATGTAGATTACATCGTTACAATAGGATGGTCTACGTGCCAGTTGCAGTGTACAAACTTGGCTTGCTCTAAAAATGCTGTTCTCAAAACAAGCTAAGTGCTCTCAAGTGCTGCTATCTTTACCCCGTGACATACTGTTTTAAAACATAATGTTCTGAATAGCTTTGAGTGTACATAAAGCTGACTGCTATACTGAAGAAAAAAAACAATACTGCGAAAACAGTCGACATAAACGTACAAACAGTATCAGCGATTCTTCAATGGGGACTAGAAAATGTCAGACAGTGCTTAAAGCCACCACTTTCCTCCTATTTCGTTTATACACTAAGACAATATAAATATAAAGACAGAGTCTTCTGAGAAGCCTTTGAAGAAGTTAATCCCCTTTTTTGTACATTTCACGACAGATGTTCTATTGTTGGTCTCGTCCACATTTAAGCAACCTTTACAACCCATTATAGGATTGTACGAGTGTTTGTCGGTGATAAAGTTTGTTATTTGTTCACCTTTCACATGTATCTCTGGCAAAAGAAAGGCAAATGCTTTTATCAGCGATATTCCGGCACCGCGGCAGCTGGAGTCGCCTCGGGGATGGATTTCTTTGATCGCAGCTGTTTGTATCTATCAGTAAAACTAAAAGGTTTCGACGGGATCGTGTTTTAGTATTCTATTTCGCTGAGCCTCTGAAAGGTGGGAAACGCCAGATGTTGGCGAGTATTTGGTTTCATCATTTCGATGGGTTCACAAGTCGGTGTTACCTCCTCCCACGTAATAGTTTTATATCAACTTCTCAGAAATCTGCCAGGACGTCGTCTAGCTGTTGCTAGGCAGAACTTCTCGTCAGTTAGCTGAATAACTTTGTGCATACAAAAAACTTTGCGTTCAAAAAAGGGAAAAGGATGTTTTTTTTTATTCCAACATGTAGTCACCAGACGTGGTGACGACACACTCAAGTTTTTTCAACTTATATTAATGCCGCCACCAACACAGGGGACAAATACATGACAGGACAATACTCATTTGCACCTGAGCTAAGTGAGGAAAGTCGTGTAAAGTGCCTTTCCCAAGGGCACAAGATCGGTGGCATGGCAGGACTCGAACCCAGGACTCTTAGTTCCGAGTCGCGCACTCTGCCGCTACGACACACGACCCCACAAAAAGGATGTTTGAAACTGAAATAATTATATCCAGACAGTTTTCACAGAATACTCATAATCATATACAGATTGTAATTTCTGCAATCAAGAGGTACGCAATTACAATTTTTGTACATTTATGACGAGTACTTCCGTCGTTCCCAGGATGTTCCGGTGGACGCGATGTTTGTGTACCCTGTGGACGAGAGCTGCGTGGTGGTCGGGTTCGAGGCGCTGGTTGGTGGACGGACCATCAGCCTGCAGCTGAAGGACGGCCCATCAATCAGCAGAGAGGCCACGCCCAGCACATCACAGGTAAGTCCATCAATCAGCAAGGAAGCCACGCCTCCCCCCCTCGCCACAGGCAAACCCACCAATCAAAAGGGACTCCATGACATCATGTTACAGGTGAACCCACCAATCGGTAGGGATTCCATACCCACTACATGCCCTTTTAAAATTTGTTAACTGTTATTTTGAGTATATATCATTCTTTTCACAAATAACGGACCATATGATTCTATATACGTAGAACAATCAATAACCTTCTTTCAAAGCCTGTTTTAAGGCAAATTAGAGTTTGATGAAGCAAATACACCAGTTGTCCGATTCACGGTTTACCGTAACTTCACTCACATGTATGACAGCACAACGCGGAGAGCAATCTAGAGACAGTGGAAAGTCCCTGCTGGGACCCAGCGAATCATCTGGATGGAGAAGGACAGCCTAATTCATTGCATGAAGGACCAGATTCACTACATGAAGGACCCAATTCACTACATGAAGGGCCCGATGCGCTACACGAACAGTCAGATGGGCAACATGAACAGGCACGGAAAGAACTAAGATCTAAAAGTTCTACGAGCTAAGTGCACAACAGATGTATGTACAAAAATGCAAAATTCAGACTAAATTTAACACTACAATACCAGATATAGAATTCACAGAGAATTTTAACCATCAGACAGTATTCAAAGCTTAATGATATATTCCAGGAGCAGTTCAGTCAGGACGACTGGCTGTACCGTCAGACGGCGTTCATCGTTGATGAGCACGAGACGAGAGAGATCTTCACGGTGAACATCGGCTCACTACCGGCGTACGAGACCGCCACGGTGCTGGTCAGCATCTCGTCTGAGATCAGGAACGGCAAGAACGGAGCTCTAAGATGCACACTGCCACACATCTGCACGCCCAGGTAAGGCTTGATTTGGGATAATCTGCAAAATATCAGAATCATCACTCACTCGGGACGGGGGACGATATGAACTTCCTGCTCTCTGCGGACCGTGCTTTTAGTATCTCCTCCGCGATGATGGACAGCAAGAAACAAGTGGTAAGATGTAAGCTAGAATAAAAATGTTCAGCCACATAAGCGCACGGTTACGCAGCATTCATTCACTTTACTGGGTGATACAGACCGCAGACCACCTTTTGTGTGTGCGTCCTTGGTCATGGGTATCTTGTACAAGATTAGAAACGGTTAGAACGAAGCTTGGAAATGCATAATGCAAACGCAACATTTGTTATAGAATTTTAAGTCACTCTTGGAATCACTGATGACGGTTTTACAGGTTCAGGAACCAGAGTTTTGAGCTGGTGACCAGTCCGGAGGACAGTAAGAGCAGCCTGACCAGTACGAACTACAGTATGGGGTACGGCACGGAGGACGCCAGCTTCTCCACCTGCAGGAATCTCATGGACATCGTGCAGGAAACAGCGATCAACCCCTTCCCGTACGAGTTCGAGTTCCAGGTACGATGTCTTTATATGTCGAAAAATCCCATCATTTAAAGTTTATGAACAAAACAACATGACACATTCGTACGTTTTGGTCTGTCTGGTTAACGTAAGGTAAGGTAGTTCTAACGCATAAAAATTCCGTAAGATAAATTATAAATCGTGACTCTGATAACGGGTACACGGAAACTGGTACCGCCCTTGTCTTAGGGTGAAAACATTATTGTCAAGGTCAACGTGTGATTTCAGGTTTATAGTTTTTATGACATGTTCCTAGTTGATTTGCATTTTTAAAAATGTTATACCAGTTGGAAGTGAAGATGCCGTGCCTGCTTGCCGGCGTGGAGAGTCCGACCCACTCCATCAGGGTGGACGCTGATCCGTACGCAAGGAACGCTAACGAGGTATATATGTTGGTCAAATCAAAACTGCAAATTAAATTTATGACATAAAATTCACAGCAGCGGTTGTACAGTATGTAGATAATCAATGCCTTTGCCGATACTTACTTTTGTTGAAGATGCTATTGCAAAAGACCCCTCTTATAGGAAGCCTACGATTTAAATGAATAAAAACATATCGTACCTGTACGTCAGGTGTTCTCAGCGTGTCTTTCCGTACACCAGGTGTTCGTGACGCTTGCCGAGCAGCACACCTACAGCGAGGACGTCCAGGTGCTTTTGTACCTGTCGGACCCGCACAAGCCGGCCATCATCCTGGAGCACGGCGACATGAGTCTGTCCGGGTACGAGGAGTACGTCAAGTCGCGCAGGAGCTTCAAGAGGCTACAGAGGGAGAAGGAGGAGAAACCGTCGTCTAAAGTGGACTACCTCAGGAGCAGGTTACACAAGGTGAATAAAGTATTCTGAGGTTGACTTTATAGATGAAATGTCAGCATCTGAATTTGACTTGGCCCGTTTTTTCTTGTGGCTCACAATCCATGAGTGCTTGCAATACGTTCAAAGGGTGACAAAGTGAACTAGAGTTATTTTCTCGACCAAAAGAGGATGTGCATACACAATCCTTGGGAGTGTAGTAGAATGGTCTAGATTTAATCACTGGGTTAATGTCGTTCCTGGGGATTTTGCGTTCATTTTTTTTGTTATGATCTATGGTGTTGATATCTCGTTCCCAGGACCTTATGCACCACGCCGCCATCATGCTCTCGTTCTTTCCGGACTTCTCGTCCATCCCACCACGTGACCCGTCCAAGATTCCCGGAAACTTCATCTTCATCCTGGACAGGAGCGGCAGCATGAGCGGGGCCAACATCGCAGGTAATTATTAATGTTCAAGGTGTTTTTTGCCACGTAATGTTATGACTTTTATCTTTATCTGTGTAGATTTATTCATCATTGGTCTTGTCTATACACAGCCCATACAGCCTAACAAATATTTTTAAGCCATTATTGAAAAATTACCTGTAACATAACAATTGATATACGCTTTGGCCATCATGAGTCGATTGAGGGAGTTTAATAAAAAAAATCTACTTGTTTTTGATAAGGTATTACTGTTTAGAATCATGAGGTGGTCGACGCATGTACAGTACTGTCAAGTTTCGGGAAGTCTCTTGTGTCATGACAATGAACCACTCATACAAACAGCTTGCGACTGAACCTAGTAGTTGAAGGCAAAAAAAAAAGGAATGTACGAAAAAAGCTATTGGCTCAGTATTACTAGGCACGATGTAACTGATTCAGCAAAACACATTGTGTACCTGGCATCGTCTCATGTTCTGTCCCTTCCCCTAGGTGCCCGTGAGACCCTGCTGTTATTCCTGAAGAGCCTGCCGACCTGCTGCCTGTTTAACATCGTGAGTTTCGGCTCCAGCTACAAGCCCATGTTCAGCACCAGCGTGGCTTACACACAGCAGAACGTGGACAAGGCTTCAGCCGACATCAAGAAAATGCGTGCTGATATGGGAGGTAATGTTCATGACTAAATTACATAGGTCACTTCTGCGATCATATTAGAAATGGAAAGGCAGTTGTTAGGCACAATGCAGGTAAAATATGTTAGCCATTGAATTACAACATGATTATACAATGGCCACATTTTCATTGGGGTAACATACAGGCTGTTCAAGCATTCAAGTTATTGAAATGCTTAGAACTGATGTACAGCAAAGATTCACAACCAATGGATGAACAGCAAAGATTCACTGAAAGAATTTTATTTCTCTGCGTCATCTCCCCCCCCCCATAACTTCAATAAGAGATGTAAATCATCAAAATGTATATCTATGTTAAAGGTACGAACATCGTGGCGCCCTTCCAGTGGGTTTTCTCGTTACATGTGACACCAATAACAAATGTCTCTGCCCGGTGCCCCTAAGGCGTCGCCAAAGTAAAATATATTCTTTTGTAAAAGGCACGAACATCCTGGCGCCGCTCCAGTGGGTGTTCTCGGCGCCTGTGACGTCAGGCTACCCCCGGCAGGTGTTCCTGCTGACCGACGGGAGCGTCAGCAACACCGGAACGGTCATCGACATAGTCAGAAAAAACGCCTACAACACCAGGTACAGAATTCTAAACAGAACCATGATACTAAATCTTAAATTTTCATTCTTTAATACCTAAAAACAGTACAATGGCAGAAAAAAAATTAATTTCGTCTCCACGTCGGGGTTCATTTTTTATGATAGCGGCTAAAACTTCCAGTACCTCTGGTAGAAGAAAACGGATTGTAAGAAATTAACATGGTCTAGTTACAAATCATGTCATTTAGCTTTTTGATAAAAGAGTTTTACTTGTACTCCTGAAGGTGCTTTGCCCTCGGGATCGGCCCGAAAGCCTCTCGGCCACTGGTGCAGGGCGTGGGTTCGGCGGGAGGGGGCGCTGCCGAACTGATCCAGGAAGGGGAGAGGATTCAGCCCAAGGTAACCTGAAATCTCTTGGCAGATAGAAACAAACATATTATCATGAAAGTTCATCTGTGTTGGTAGTAATCATAGTAAAAGGTTGAACTTTATTCCAACACACAATTGTACAGGGATCAAATTTTCAGTGGCCACTGTCGCCTTCATCAGGATAATGAATTAATTATCCTGGTCATTAATTATCCTGATGAAGGCGACAGTGGTCGCTGAAAATTTGATCCCTGTACATATTGTGTGTTGGAATAAAGTTCAACCTTTTACTAGAAACAAACATACTTCTAACAGAAAACATAACAGGCAAGTAATAAAAAGCATATCACACATTCTCCCTAGTTTTCGTCAGGAATTGACGTATCGCTTCAAGCTATAAATATAAATAGACCTAACATTCATGTGACGTCAGCAATGGGTAAATCGTTTTCCTTATATTGTCCTGAAATATTCCAGCATCTGATATGAACCACACGTCTTTTTAGGTTGTCTCCTGTCTGAAGCGCGCCCTCCAGCCTTGTATCAGTGACATCACGGTCACGTGGCGCCCTCCAGCGGGGATCGAGGTACTGCAGTCCCCCAAGTCCCTCCCGCCGCTGTTCCCCGGGGACCGACTGGTGGCCTACGCCGTGCTGTACGACATGCTGGTGGTCGAACCCAGGCCCAAGGACGAGGAGATAGAGGAGACAACGGAGGGATCAAGTTCAACGGTTTCACAGGTATGTCCTTTAACCTTCTTTATGCTGTCTAACACCAAATGGATACTTAAGTGGGCTAAAGGGTTAATGTTCTGGAAGTGGAAATACCTTTATGATGCATTCACAGGTATCCTTATCTCTGCTTGAGGTCAAGTCACACGATAACAGAGGAAGACAGCAAAAAGTTTTCTGTTCATCAGGTTTTCAGTACAGCAGCTAATAAAAGCTGACTGAACGAATAGCGCTTGCTCAACTCATGTAAGCTGGACTTCGTTAATGAGGAGGAGACCTCTAATGTGTTATTTCCTTCACTAAATCAGTCTTGGTTCTTGCGTGACATCGGGTATCGTGGCAATGTCGTAAAAATCACACCCCTATTTATTAGTGCTTTGTCACGGCTACTTGAAGTTTCGTGTTTTTCCCTGTACCAGAGCACGACCAGTGACTTCTCGGAGGCCGCCAGCAGCGTCAACACGGGAGACCTGCTGAGGGACATCGTGGACGAGATCTCCAGCAAGAAGAAGGAGAAACACGAGAACGAACTGAGGGAACCGGTCAGGAAGGTCGGCAACCATGCTGCTGCTGTTATTGTTTAGTTTCTTCCGTTCCTAATGAAACAAAGGGTAGAAAGTTTTCTTGTAGATTTCCCAAGTATGCAGGGAAGTACGCCATATGGTGATGAGCAACAATGGAGGTAGCCCTTTGCCCGTTATCATTTATTACTTGCCAAACCTGCCTGATTCTAGGAAAGGCAGCAATCTTTAGGTGAACCTTGTAATGCTTATGGCACAATTCCAAATATCGGGGCAAAATCGGGCTGAACAAGAATGAACAAGTCATGTCAAGAGTATACACAAATAGCCATCATGATAAGCCTTTTAGAATAGTTTTTTTTTTTTGTCCTTTTTCGTTTTAATTTTCGTTGTCAGCCCGACCGGGCCCCGGGTTGACGTGGGTCTCAAACCATACATTGTACATCCATTGTCGGTTTCAAGGCTATGTGGCTTATATCGGGATTTGAACTCTAGGCCTTCTGATCTGGAGAAGCGCCATCAAATGCTGAACAATTTACGGCTCATCTTATGAATTTCCTCAGATCCGGAAGATCAGTGACCTGGGGAAGTCTGCGTCCATGGGACCGAGAAGCCCTGAGAGGGAGTTTCTGTCAGAAGTCGGCGGGGAAGAGAACGGAGCTCACATCAGGAAAAGAGGGAACTCCTTAGAGGTGATGCAGCTTTGTCCTTTATACATCATTGATTTCCTGCAATTATCATTTTAGAACCCGCAGGTCTCAAGTTACATAGCTAGACACTAACCTTTATTCTGTGTTCTTTTTGAATTTACAAAGAAACCAATAGTTCTCTTGAAGAGAAAATTGAATCAATCTTTTGAGGCTACAATTACAAAAGTACTAAATTGTATTTTGCGCAATTCGAATACCACGCTATCTAAACTTATTAAGTGACCTCCGACCTTTATCATAGCCTTTCAAACTGAGTACTCTTCTGATAATTTTTGGTGACGCCTCAGGGGTGGAGGCATATTCTCTATGATACAAATCTGACGCACTTGACGGTTTGTGTACATTAGGTTCCAGATCTAAGCAGATCCAACCGCACCCGGAAAATCTCTGGACAGGGCGGAAGTGACATCGACCTAATGATGTTGCAAAGGATGCTGGGAAAGCTGTTCGAAACTGGCGGACAAGGCATGGAGGAATTCAAGGTCACCAAACTGAGTCCAAATGATGAAAATGTCAGTGATGAAACAGCAGAGAAGAGTAAAAAAGATGCAAAAGAAAAACCTCAAGATCAGCCCAGCAGTTCTGACGCAGACGGCGCAGGAAGTGACGCAGACAGCAGCGACAGCAGAACTGAAGACAGGCAACCGAAACAAAATGGCGTCACTCCCAGAAGCCCACTGAGCCCGAAGTCACGTGACATGAGCGTTGATGACTTCCTGGCGTCAGTACAGAAGCACGGTGATTGGACGAGACGAGGTGGGAAAAGTAAGGCCGTCATCAAGGGACTGGTGTTCGATGAGGAGTTTGTTTACGAGGTACGAAGAGCCACAAACATTGCCCTCGAAAAAAATTATTTCTAGGTCAAAATGATTCTTAATGAGGTTAATGTATGCATGGTAAGAAATTTAAAGCTCATTGTGAGACTGGTAGCACTTCGATGCCTTATTCAAGTACCTGAGGCATCTTTATCTAAATATCATATGAAAGTCTAGATTAGATTTGTTTCCATTGTTCTTATTCTCCTTACACACGATTTTTTATTTATTTTAGAATTACCCGCTTGCATGTTATATACCAAGTCTTGGTTACGTTTCAGATCCCATTCGACGTCAGTGAGGCCATTGACCCCGACCGGCCGACCCTTGACCCGGAAGATAACATCTGGGACGAGACGATACACCAGCTGGCGGCGCGTTCCATTATTCTGGACCTGGAGGAGCGACTGCAGAGGAGCGAGAAGAGCGTACAACCTGAAGGTTTCTTGTTTCCTCTTACAGAAGTGTTGTTTCGGGTGACCGAGTTAACGTTGTGGAAGAGTTTTCCTTTGTACTATAATAGCTAACACATGTAAAAAGAGAACATTTCAGTAGCGGACAGTCAACCTTTGGAATGACTTACCGCAACACATAGAACATTTCCAGTCCACGTATCTGTTCAAACAATGTAGACTCTGTGATTAATGTTGACATTATGTTCCTTTCATTTGTATATAATGTTAATTTAATTTTGTGCCATATGTGTGTTCTTTTTCCATGTTATCTCTCAGATGTATGTTTTTTATGAACCCTAGAAGACTATACAGTTTTGTCGAAAGGGTAGCAAAAAAATGACAATAAAAAAGACGAACAGACTATATGACAGCTCGAAAGATTTGTAGGCGAACTCCGCGAAGAATAGTGTGGTACTTATATACTAATTGTGATCCTGATGAAACAAAGAAACAGGCAGAATGAAAGAAAGTCAATGGTCTCACAATCTACCCGGAAGTCAAAGTGGAAGGAATAGTGTAAAACCCCATGCAGGCTCCCGTTGTGGTTATGCTGACACGGTGTTAGATCTCCCCCCTGTAGGAGCCTTGTGTCCTGAGACAGTGCTGGACGAGGCCCGGGCGAAGATCGTCCACACCAGTCAGTCCGCTAACATCATCTCCCGCTACACGTCCTTCTGCGCCGTGGACGAGGACACCAACGAGTCTCTGCCGTCACTGCTGGAACAGAGGCTGCCGCTCGACAAACAGCCAAGGTATAGACACTTGAAAATTGTACGGGAAACAAACTTTAAAAACCACGTTCTCTTTGTCCTATTGGCAGAGTAATACTATTTTCAATATCAACATTCAAGGTCTTAGTCGGGCGTCAGGTTGTTGTTAACATATTACATACACAATACATCTGTATACTAAGTACCATGTACAAAGTTAGCAAAGGTTTTCTAGACTCAAAAGCAATGTTTCAAGTATTAAAAACACTCTTGCCATGACGTCCCTGAATTTGACCCCCCTCCAATTTGAAAGTTGAAGCACAATGCCAGCTACTGTATATCAGCCAAACAAATTTATTCATCCATCCATCTGAAAATGTATCATCTGGCAAGATAACAGCACCGCGTTGTGTATTTTCCGATTTACAGTCATAGTCTTTTCGTTTGCCCTCCAAGAGTAGCAACTTATCTTCTTTCCTGATTTATCATGCACTTTACATGGTTTGACTCAATTTTACGGCGATGTGAAGTTTACGTACCCGTACTTTCCAGGAGCAGTAACCGGCGGTCGGGATTCTCTGCTGGGCTGGGCCGCCGGACCTCCAGTATGGAGTCCGAGGAGGACGACAGCTTCCATCTACAGGACACGAAAGGTGAGAGAGACATTTTGGCAATGAAGCAATATATTACATTTACTCACTTACTTGATCTAATAAAGTATTGTTTGGACTTGTCTGCCCGTCTTGTGTGTTAAAAATTAACAGTAAATCGTTGACATACATCGTCATTTCTTGCTGTTACTTTTTTTTGCGGAACTAGAAGGGTCACATCATATACCTATCAGTGCAGGAAAAGGCTTGCTATCTGACTTACTGATTGTCTTGTTGACTTTTAAGTTATCTGTATATAGCGCATTTTACGTTTACGTAACGTTAGTAGTAAGTTTAATGTAAGGCTTTGCCACTAACACAAATTACTATATAAGCAAAACTCATCTAAAAATGCTATATATACACTCACTCCCCAGGGCATGCAGCAGACTCCATCTCTTTACGTTCCGCACCGACGTCAGGCTTCATCGCTGGCCGGAGAAGGGATTCTGCCGGTAAGATTTTACTTTACAGTCAGCAACGGGTTAAAGGTAGTCAGAAGTCGATACCTTCCATCGTCTATTTCTATGTGTTGACACATCCTGAATAATTTGGGCTCTCATATGTCCTGTGGAAGTCCTGTTCTTGTATTGGTACCAAGCTTAACGTCAATTCCCTACTTTACATATGTCTCCAGATGTTTGTGGGAAGGATTAACGTTAAGAGTTCTTGTCTACTAATATACATAATGGGATCTCCAATATTGTTGTAAAATAAGACTTAAAAATGATCCTTGATCCCCAGTGTCCTCCATCTCCATGGCGCTGCCCCGCCGTCGGTCCAAGCGGCGCCAGTCCTCCTCCCAGTCCAAACTCTTCCGCTCACGGTTCGGATCCTTCGGTTCGCGGAAACTGGGAGGGACGCCGTCTGCACGGCCGCTATATAAGGTAAGGAGTTTTTAGCTCTGTGTATGCCGAGGTTTTGTTTCTAGTGTGTCTATGGTGGTTAGTGTGGTCACTTGTAGTATATAGTAGAGGGGATTCATTCCTCAAGCTACCGACATCTTGCACACGCAGTCGTCCCTCAGTAAGACATCTGGAGCCGCATATTTCCCGTTTAGAACTTTTATTCAGCCTGTCACACCAACTTAAATAGTTAGTGTGGTCACTTGTGGTTGGTGTGGTCACTTGTGTTTACGTACTTATTTCCTCATACTACTGAGGCAGGTCGACGTTTGGTCTGACGGTAGTTTCCACTGCGTTCAAAAGGGAAATGAAACCTCACATTAGTAAGGTAGATATAGAACCTTACTGTAGACCACATGTTTACTCACTCACTTAATGCACTTAATAACAAGGCAAATATTTGTAAGAAACTATTATAATTACATCAGTTGTGCATTGTAAGGATGTATTCCTCGGTAAGTATAGTGCAAATGTTCCCTCCAGGCATATGCCAGTAAATCCCTGACCCCGGAAGTAGTTACCCTGGCCATCCTGGTGGACCTGCAGCTGGCCTGTGGTGCCTGGCGCATGGATGCACTTCTGGCCAAGGCGCTAGGGGTCTCCCTTGAGCAGCTGCAGCGGTCGAACCCGATGGTGACGCCGAAGAAGGTGCTGAACCTGGCCTGCGACAGCCGCATCTGCCTGCAGCCCTTCCAGACCGTCAAATCGCACAGGTGGGCACTGGAATTACTAGTATATCATTTTTGATTGAGGCATACTTAGGCTGGTCAAACTCACGTAACTATGACGTAATCATTGTTCGCCATGTTGGATGGTTAAACCATGAAGTTGCCAGCTAAATTTGAGTTTGTTTACGTCATTACAGTTACGCAATGATGGCAATATTACATGTATCTCATTGGATTTACTTATTCTACTTCGTTTTTCTTTAATTCACTTTTTATCTTGTATGAAAATATTTATTTACTATTTTTAAGTTATACCCAAGATGTGATACTGATTAACTATTTTACAAACAGGATCACCAAGAAGCGCCAGAGGCAGATGAAACATGGAGCACTGAAGGAATCCGGTAGGCGGCGCCACGAGAGGTCCAGCCCTGACCAGAACGGGGAGCAGAACGGGAAGACTTCCTCCTCCGATGAAACCATGCAGGTGGAGAAGACCAACTCCGTGGAGGCTAAAGATGAAGAGGACGAGGAAGCTGTAACAAGAGAAGAGGAAAGTAGAGCGGAAACGGATAAGAAATGTACCGAGGAGATCCTTAGACTCTCCGAGCAGATACAGAAACTGTCGCTGGATGTCGAACTGGACGAGGTGTACCAGAAAGCGCATGCGCAGCCCAAGTCACGTGGGAGGTCCATGTCGGTGACCATCTGTGAGTTCGATAGGTCGCCGACGTCGCCTAGCAACCTGCCTAGCAACCAGCAGAGACGGAAGAGCCTGTCTGACGGGTTCGGTCCGATCATACCATTTGATCCGGAGGGGAGGCGTATGCAGATTACTCATCCCAAGTTGGAGCCTATCATTGCTTTAGCAGTGGACGGTGTCGAGCACAGAGTTGCACCGAAAAAGCCGAAACGCTCTTCTGTCTGCGAAGCCAATATCAGCATGGCAACAAAAGAAAAAGGACAAGAATCTTCAGAAAACGGCCAAGAGCCAGAAAAGTCGGAAGCCCATCCTCATAAAGATCCAGCAGAATCCGAGACGCGGGAGCGGACCAACAGCAACACAAGCACCCGCAGTACCGGAAGTGTTCGCTTCAAGAACGTGGATGACCCGGAAGCAGAAGCGGACAGGACGGAGGGTGTCTCGAAGTGGAAGTACGACTCGAGGCGGAGCAGCGCCTTCAGTGTTCAGAGCGGGGCCAGCTACACCAGCGAGGCGTCTCAGGCGGACGGAGGGAGGGGATCCTCGGGGGAGGAGAGCCCTTGTCCCGAGGCGGAGGACAACACGGAGAGCATGGCCTGGGCAACGGCACTTGTACTCAGCTGGCTCGAATCAAAATGTTCCAGGTATCTAAGAATATTATATTTTACAGACATTTTGACTAAATTGTATTATATATCTTTGCGCCAGGTGTTTATCATGATGTTTAGCAATATAAGGCTTTTATTATTTTTTTAATATTTGACTGTATAGTTCTTAATAGGTGTCTACTTTATAGCTTTCACATTGTCTAATAGTAACTTAACATAATCCGTTACCTTTACGTGGCTGCCACTATTTTGGAGCTTGCATGTTTTCCTAGCACAAGCTGCACAAACCTACGATTACGGACAGTTTTGAATTGAAAAAAAAAAGAAGTTAAAAGGAAATTAAAGAAAATGGCGACTTATTACCGAATCTCTTCCCCCACGTGACCACAGCTACCTCCAGGAGTGGGACCTGCTTGCCGCCAAGGCGATCACGTGGCTCGGTGACCTTTCACCCCAGCTGCCCAAGGGGTTCGACGCGGGAAGCGTGAGGACCTCTGCTGCGCAGGCGCTGGTCCTCCTGCAGAGCAAGGACGGGAAGGACGGCAAGGTCATCAACAAGAAGACACAGAGCACCCGTCTGTAACATGCCGTCACAGGGTCAAGGGTCAACAGGACGTGTTCACGTGACGTCATCTGTGTGTCGCCGCCATGTTTTTTTTTTTTTGCATTTAAACAGACCGTAGCATGACAGGTACATCATTACCGCTAGGTGGCGTCACATTGCGCCGTACAACCCAAATGCGTCGCCTATTAGTAAGGAAGGAACAACAATGACCAAATAATTTGCCAATGACAAATCAAGAAGGACGGGACTTAGTTTCAAATAAAAGCTTTTGACAATCTCTAATACATTCCTATCGACAGGAATTTAAAAAAAACATGAATATAAAGAAATATACATCCTAGCGCTAAATTATCAATACATGAGACGCCAATATATATATAATATGCACGCAGGTGTTCCAAAAACATATATTAATATAATGAACGTATGAAAAACACGTATATGGGATAAGAGTATTTTGAAAAAGCGCAGTCTTAGAATTAACAAACTTTTGCCAATTGCGATCTTCCGTAACAATGATTTAAAAAGAAATATATAAAATTTATTTGCAACGTTCGTCTTCTATAACCTTGTATCTGAGGTATTTCTAATATGAATGTAGAGGATAAAGCATAACGCACAAAGTACGCTGAGTAATTATAAAACTTAACATTCCAGTGCAACAAGCAAGTGATTGTAAGTTTGTCAATCTTGACAGTTGATTTACTAAATTGCTCGGTATATTGATACAGTATTCAAAGTTGTTCTTTGTCGGACCAAACGCTTACTTAAAGTGCACGTCTGTTCAAAAATGAAGATATTTTGTCTGAATATTGCCTGTCACTGGTGGTAAGAATTGTGACTGTTATTTAAGTTGGTTATAAACTTTCATCGGTTTTATATCATGCGAATGCTTGTGATATAAAACACAGTCATCTATTTATTGTGATACTCTAAGTAGTAACTATTCATCCTTATGAAATAATACATATCAAAAAACTTTCAATGGGGTTTTAGGATGTGGAGAGAAAAATGATTTGTATGTTCTTTTCAATTTGAGCGAGCTTTATTACTAGGTAAGGTGGGGTCGAGTGTCCAAATGGTTAGGTTAGCGGACACAAGATTTGTATCATTCTTGGCAAGACGCTGTGTCCTTTTAAAGGCACTTGTAAAAAATTGCCTCACTCCACCCAAGTGTAAAATGAATACCTGATTTCGGTTGGGGAGGTAAAAGACGGTTGAAGGAGAGGGATGGGCTTCTCCTTCCAAAAGCGTGCTCTAGACCCGTTGGATTAACCTTACGGTCTCAAAAAGGCTGTATGACTACTTTTATCTACTAGTAGGTTTTTAAATGTCTCGATCATTGATATATATTATTATGATTGACAGTCAGTATGTTTGTTTTGTTGTTATCATGACGTGGATCAGTACCATATTTGGCGTAAAAGGCACCGCTAATCTTTCACAAGTTGTTATAAAAGTATTCTGTTCGTAGTCTTTGGTATTCAATGGAATCAAAACTTTCTTAAATTCTCGTTTTGCGTGTGACTAATGTGACGACATGTTGTAAGATGATGGTCACAAATGTGATGTTGGTCATCCCAGAAAAAAAAATCACATATCTTACAGTTAAAACTATTGTACCATAGACTAGAGCTTATATTTGTTCCAACACAGATATATCTAAATGACTGTGAATAGAGAAAAAAATATATAACTTAATGGTCCTGTACAAGATTGTTTATCCAGATACATGTATATTTATGTGGATGCGGAAATGATATTTTTGCTTTGCCATATCAACCTGCTGTGCCATAAAATGTCGACAGAAGTCGCTGCTGCATCGTAGCTGTCAATGGACTGCTTGCCAAACGGCAGTTCCATTCAAACAGTTTGGTGAGATAGTACGTGTAAATGATGGCATCAGAATCAGGAGAATGTAGAACTAGACTGAGTTTAAAGAACGAAAGAAAAAAAGGCCAACGAAAAGTCTGTTGCGAGGACAATATTTTTCGACCACTTCTTCGTTTATTTTGAATGGGATTGTCTTGATATATTCTGTATTAAAAGTGTTGTTCTAAACATGATATTACTGATTGCGAGTTTTCGTGTCTGCATGTATGTGTGTGTGTGTGTTTTCGTGTGTGTATTTTTGTGTGTCGGTCATTACGTACCTCTATGGCTGCGTTGTGTAGATACGCATGCGTTTGTATAAGGAAAAAGAATGAAAAGATGAAATGGCAAATGGGATCAATTTACAAAGAACGGAACGACAGAAGATATTAAAATAGCTACAATTAGCCTGCAATCCTCTATGGTCGGTTTTCTTATGATATGAATATAATATACTAGTATTCCATAATATATATCTAAATATCTGATTCGGCCCTGTCGCTCACGTAACGCTTATCCATGTGAACATACCACGGTACATTTGCCCCGTCTACAGATATGACGGATGTCACCCCGGTAGGTTGATGTGAACCATGATCTCATCTACACCAGGGAACGTCTCAGAAGCTGCACATTTCTTGAAAAAGTAATTAATCACTCACGCATACGAATTCAAAAGAACTTGAGAAACAAGTTGAACCAAGCCTTCCTTGATCCTCAAGACAAAAAAGCATAAGACTAAGAATACACAACTATACGCAAAAAAAAAATTAATTTGTTCCATCCACCTCGAGATTTGAAATTATATTTTTTTCCGTATAATAAGAGACCAAATTATCATATCGTGAAGTAATATAATTTGTTAAGTTGATGCTAAAAATTAAACGTTTGCTACAAAACTTACATAGTTGCCTCACCTAGTCTACTCTTGGGCCGTAGACCTTTTACTAAAAGAAAATAATTTAAAGGCCCGTTCTGAGACAGACATAGAACGTATGAGACAACCCCCTGTAGACGTCCCGCCCTCCCACGTGGCGCCCGGGAGTCTGCATTACCCGCGACAGAGTCACCTTGTCGTCTGAACCTCCATCTTCCCGCCCAGATCTACCCGGAACCCTCACATCACCGCACGGTCATGAGCGAGAAGTCACGCTTGAAGTCTTCACATCAAACTCCCGGAAGGAATTATTTACGTCACATACTGACAGGCCAGAGTGGATTTAACACTTCAATGACTCCTTAACACCGGGACCATGTTCATCTCTGTCCACTCTAAGGCCACACTGACTCAATTTTATGGGTGACATTCTCTGAAGTGTGCGCAGTCGAATAAATGCAAAAAAAAACGCTGCTAAACCACAGGAATACAAAGCTGGTATTGTGGATTTGCGGAAGTACATGGCGACTTTTACGATAAGCCGGCACATGCTGGTCTTTTGTGGCATTTATGAGTTGGCACTGTACTGAGTTCTTGAGTACCGTAGAACTTTGGCAACCTGGGTACCATCCTCCGTAGATACCACCGGCTCCGCATTGTCACTAGCTACCATGGACTACAGAGGATGGCACCCAGGCCAGAGCCTCGGAGGGGGTGATTTTTTCAGAACAGGCGAAAATCAATGCGCGCGCTAGTGTCATCCATGAAATTACACCAGTATGGCAGAATACTTAGCTGAAAGCAAATAGAATTGAAATTCAAAAAATATGCACAGGAATACATGCACATCAAATAATTCACAACATAATGGAGTAACAAAAAGCAGCACAAATAAGTCCTCTTGCGAATAAAAAAAAAGAAAAAAACGTAGGAAAGAATGTCCAAAAGGCTGCTGGATAGACACTGCTTGAGACACTGTCTTTCCTGTTATATTGTCAGATTCAGACGTGAAGTTATCTACACATGCACAGCAGGCGTTCCAGACAGCTTGTTATCCTCTCCTACAGAAGACTGGTCTCTGGAGAACACAGGATTTGCCATATTAGATGATGGATGGTTCCAGGTAGCAGAAATGGTCTATAATTGGTTTCTTTCTTGACTAGAGCGTAGAAATCAACCATAATTGCAATTTTTGGGATGTTAGCGGTTAAGTTACAGTCGCATTGACTGGTAACATGCGTTTAGAATGGTTTTGGAACTTTCTTCAGTGCAAATAGATGAGTTTCCTTGCGCCAAGCGTGGTTGTTATTCCACAGGGAGTCCGCGGGCAAGCAGCGTTAACTACCAGCCGTTCAGCACCAAGGAGAAATCTAACTTCACCGGAATTACTTTACATTAAATTAGTCATGTGGAGCTTTTGCGTCATTCGCACATTTGTTCAAATCTCTAGTATGTGTCTTGCTCTTGCTCTCATTTTCCTATACTATCATTAGAAACAGGAGTAATTGTAACTTTTCAGGAGAAACACGAAATTAAGAATAGTCAAGAACTTTAAAAGTCTTTTCAAGTCTAAGGTCAACAAGCATCTGTCCTCACTGGCTGTAAAGTAACCCAAAACATTTTGAGTGGCTCTCATGAGCCTTGTTTTAAATTTTGTGGTGAATCAAGAAGTAAATTGAAAAAAAAATCACCACTGAGGATTCAGCACCAAGGACAGGGGTAATATGATTAACAAAGTTACAGGTCAATCGAGGACGACGTTACCCAGGTCGTAGAAATACCCATTATTTTTATGAATGATGCCATCAAATTCTCATACTAGGAAATATGTGAAGTTCTTAAGCCGTGGTCGCATACCATATTGTTATTCGCCTGGCAGTTTTTTTATATTTTAAGATACTTCAAATTTCAGCCTTTAGAGAGTAATTCGAATGCTGAAACGTCTACAATAACCGGATTCTAATCTTCCCCGATATAATTCAGTTTTCCACGCGAAGAATGTTTCCATGTTTAAGCCAGTAAGTCTTTCCTGGCAGAACACCATTTTGTCAATTCCTGAGGCGTCATATCAATTACAAACCATCAGCCACTTAAGTACGTCATTGCTGTTTGGCCGACCTTTTCGATTTATCAATTTTTACTAAACCGTCAGCCAAGAGAATCAGTCTAACATTTGCGTGGAGATGACGATGTCATGGCTACCAAACAAATCTGTAATCCGTTTAGTGCGGATTTGGGGGGACTAATGAATTCAACACGGTTTGTTGTACTCACCCTTCGTGTTACGTCATTTCCTATATAATCTAGTTTCCACAATTGCCATCGCGATCACGGGTGGTGGTCGTCATGGCAACGCTG